CCCAGCACTCCGGAGGCAGAAGCAGGCAGATCTCTGTGAGTCCAAGACCAGCCTAGTCTACAAGAGCTAGTTCCAGGACAGCCCCCCAAAGCCACGGAGAAACCCTGTCTCGAAAAACCAAAAAAAAAAAAAAAAAAAAAAGAATAAAAATGTCTGTTCATTTCGAGGTTAGGTGGGTGACTGGTTGCCAGGGTGGCCCAGCCCATGAATGCCTGGCTACTCTAGGGAAATCAGGACTGGCCCTCGAGTAGAGTGGGCACAACGGTCATTTTCCTGGTCAACTAAAAGCATGGGAACAGGCCTGAGGGCTTGCACAGCCAGTTTGCACGTAACATGATTCAACTAGTTCAGGTTTTGTTACACCTTCTATGTGTAAATTTTCCAAGTAAAAAAACTACCCATGGATTGGCTGATAGTTTTCATCTTAAGCCAAGAAGTTAATGTTTATCAGACCAATATTATTAATCACTGTGTCTGCCTTTATGTCGGGCCCTCCTGGGAGCCCCAACAGTCCCACAGGCACAGGCCTCCCTCTGCGGAGCTCAGTGGGCATGCCCACACACGGGCTGATTTCAGGAGTGTTCCACTAAACAAGATGCTGTCGGTCCTCAGTGAGGGAAAGACAGCATTTTACGGCGAGTTGTTTCCCTCAACTATTAAATTTAAAAGGGATCATTTTGTGTTGGAAATGCATTGAGAAGTCTAAGACAACACAGGGATGAGAAAACCATTATAAGAAAGGCAGTTTGTCTAACGCCGCAGGGTCGTCCTAGGAGAATTAAGGTTTTCACCTCATTTTGGAGATGCATTTAAGGTAATGCCATGAATTCCTGCTCCGGGCAATCTCTCACGGTAGAGATTTGTCATGAATAAAACAATAGCATTTCCGTGGTTTTGAAATCGCTCAGACACGCAGTTATTTACTTTGTGAGTTAAACACCGCCGCTGGATTGAGGCGTGCAGTGGCTTCCATGAGTGAAGCCCGTGTCAGAAGAACGAAGGGCTTTGCGGGGAGTTGCTTCTGCTGCTGTTTAACAGTGCTCAGCGTTCTAGGAGGGCGGCTGATCACAGCTCGCTTCCGTGAGCAAGGCAGCAAACTACACAAATCTGTCCGCTAAACCCATTAAGTCAGGAAACTAAATAAGAATTGGGTATGGTAAATAGAGATAGGAAGGCTTATTTTTAAACAATTTTCTAGCAGATCACAGTCAAGGCAGCCGACTCTCTGACCCCCTCTACTGGAAACCATCAGTATTGCGTGGTTTGAAAACTTTTTAATGGCCTTGCTGGGTTGTTACATGTTATTTTGAGAATTCCAATATCTTCCTTTTAAGTTCAGTCATAGTTTTCTCGTGATTATCTTGATTTCATAATCTCTTCTTAACCTCTGGAGAAGTAATGAGTTATTCATCTCTGATTTACAATTATTGAGACTAATTAAAAAGCTAAATCTTTTAGAGAGATTAATACAGCAGAGACTGAGAAATCACTCAATTTTCCGTTGTTTCATTTTGTTTTGATAACCAGACTTGCTCAGCTAAATAATATTCAGTGATTCGTTGATCTAGACAACATTCACCTGAGGAAATCCAGCAGCTTTTACCTGTCCCTCCCTCCCCCTTGGCCTCCATACCTCCCCTCCCCATGTAGAGAGACTCCACATTCCTTTCCAGCCAGTCTTCCCTGAGCCTACACTTCAGTATCTTAAACTGTCTTGGTGCATGAGCGAAGGCTGGACACCACGCCATAAACAGGTTGCCAACTGTAATCCTCCTGGGACACTGCGGCTAATTCCATGAACACCCTGTACATTTCAAAGGCTGGGCTGAACACTCCCATGTTCATGATTTCATTTCAAACGGATCCTTGTGATACACGGCCCATGGCTACAGCCTGCAATTGCCATACCAGACCTGTGAGTAGCCACTGACTTACTTCACAGCAGCACCAAGCTCCAGGCCTCTGGCATTTCCTTGACTTGGTGCAGCATGCAGCCAGCCTCCCCTGCCTCATGTGACCCAGAGGTCACAAACAAGGCCATCCATGCAAGAGCCAAAACCCCCCTCTCAGAATCAGCATGCCCAGCACGTCCACTCAGAAGGGGCCCTCTTCGAAATCTGTCACCTGTCATTGCCATACAGTCCACCTTTGAAATTTTGCTAGGGGAAGATTAGTTTTTATGATATAGCTTTACACCAAAAGAATTTATTTTCCTAGGAGGATTATTGGAACTGACTCTGCTACTTCACAGTCACACGAGTTTTTACTGCTCTCAAATCATAGCTGAAGCGCCAGTGGATGTATGTGTGTGTACAGGTGTGTGTGTATATGTGTAGAGGTGGAAGACAACCTAAAGTGTCACCTACCTTTTTCTTTTAGTGACAGAGTTTCTCACTGGCCTCAGCTCACCAAGAAAGCTAGCATGGTTGACTAGGGTCTTAGAGTTTCCATTGCTATGAAGAGACACTCTGACTGCAGCAACCCTTACACAGAAAACTTAATCGATGGGGTTCACTTACAGTTTCAGAGGTTTAGTTCATTATCATCGTGGCGGGAAACACCATAGCATCCAGGCAGACATGGCACTGGAAGAGTAGTTGAGAGTCTTAGATCTCCCGGGCAACAGGAAGTCGATTGAGACACTGGGCAGCGTCCTGAGCATAGGAAACCCCAAAGCCTACACCCACAGTGACACACTTCCTCCAACAAGGCCATACCCACTCCAACAAAACCACACCTCCTAACAGTGCTCTCCTTTTGAGATTATGGAGGCCAATTACAATCAAACTACCACAGCTTGTGGGCAACTAGCACCCACCTGTCTCTGCCTCCTTAGCGCTGGAATTACACCTGGCTTGCTTTGTTTACATGAGTTCCAGGGCTCTTCGTGCCTCTGTGGCTAGTCTTTCACTGCCTGGGCTATCTCAGAAGCCCAGATCGTGTTTGAAACCCTTTATGTTTTGGACTCTGGCTGCCTGGCTCTGAGCCGTTCAAGTATTTCTATACAATCGACAGTTGGAATCTGGAAAGATGTGCGGGTATGGTTATAATTTAAAGGAATAAATAGGTCGGTGCTAAGGCTCAAGTTAAGAGAACTCGGGAACCTGCAAGCTCACAGCTATTACTCTCTGGTGTTCTTTATTAGAAGACAGGGTAGGACTCTGTGGTCTTTCAGGAACTGGCTCCTTATTCTAATCCCGAGCCCAGCCCCAGCCCCAGGCCCACTCCACCCAGGTGGCCTCTAACAGGAATCCCTCCCACATCCTCTGAACACCTGCTCCCAAACGCTGATGGGCTTGATTGCAGCTCTTGCTGTCCACACTGCAGATAAAGAAAAACATGAATACTCAGAGCACCACACACTACTGTTTGAAAGCAATTTAGTTATGTTCAGTGGGAGAAAGTGCCCAGCTTTTTCCTCTTGACAGCTTTTACATGTTAAAGAAGTATCCACCTGAGACCAGCAAACACATCTTCACCAAGTAAACCAATATACCAGGTGTTCAACTTCAGCTTGGAGGGCAGGTTGTGGGAAGGAAGTTAAAAGACGTAATAAAGATGAAAGATCTGGAGTAGCCTGCACAAACCAGGGGGATAAATAAGCATTATACTAACAAATTCACGAGCTGGCTCTCAAAAAGACAGTAAAATACTTTAATCTCTAATGATTGGTCATGTGTCTGGAAAGAGATCAAATGTCCATCAATAACACGATGAGTGATGTTCTAGTCACCCCACTCAACACTATTAATAGAGGATGAAAAAAATCTACACCTGCATGTGCTAATATACACAGCAGCCAAGGATGCCATTAAAAATAAATGTGTGTGTGTGCACGTGTGTGTGTGCATAGTTTATATTTATTTAAAATTCAAAACACAAGCAAAGTAACCTATAGTATTAGAAACACAGGTAATGACTATTTTTGGGAAGAAAGATGACTTTTAAGGAGATTTGTGATGTTGGACAGTCTGTGTCCTCAGTTGATGCTTACTTGGGTGTGCTGAATGTTTTAGTCTACTGAGTGATACAGTTCTAAAATTATTTTGGTTGTTTTTTTTTATTTTATGTGCATGAATGTTTTGTCTGCATGTATGTGTGTATGTGCACCAGGTGCATACCTGGTGCCCAAGGACATCAGAAGAAGTCAGATTGCCTGGATGTGTGTGGATGGTTGTAAGCCATCATGTGGTTGCTGGGGATCGAACCTTCATCCTCGGTAAAAGCAATTGCTGAGTCATCTCTTCAGCCCTGCATTTGAATTATAAGTTTTTACATGTATATATTCTAATCTATATTTTAAAAATTAAATCAAGAACATAAAACAGAATGCATTAATAAAGAGAGAAATATGAAAACATTGGGAACACAGTAGTTAACATTTGCTGACACTTACTGTCACACAATCGTGTGTTATACACACTGCAACGTGTAACTTCACAGTAGACCCAAAGACAAATGTAACTGGGTGGCCAAAGGGTAGAAAAAGTCACTCAGCTCAAAGCTCATCTTGACCATGATTTTACACTGTCTGTCTGGAATGACTCCAGATCTTAAGACACAGCCCACTGCATGTTCATCACAAGATGCCTAGCTTGTTCCAGAGCAGAGTTGGAAAAACTAACATGCAATTGCCATTGTAGTTTTTATTTCTGTAGGTTTTTATTAATGTTTTCTCAGCACAATCATTTTATAATCTCACACTGAAAACACAGCATCCAATCCCAGTTAAGAACTACCCCTTAAGTTAAATCAAGCTATACTCTGAAGACCTTTACATTTTCTATATTTTTATCATTGTGTGAAGAACACTGGGAGATTTTCTTGAGCTGGCCAATATGTTTTTATCATGATTGTATGGCTCTAATATCCTAACCTGAACAAAGTAAAAGTAGCCCATGGGGCCATTGAATGTAAACCCCCAAACTCTGAAGGACTAATTAAGTAAAGAGATTCCAGACAAATTTAAAGATAATGATCAACATGTATTACTTATTTATTATTTTAGAAATTTATGTTTATTACATGAGTAAAGTTTAGCATCAGAAATCCAATCACTCAACCACGTATTTACAAAGTCGTAGTACAATAGACAATTGAGAAATCTCAGCAACATGCAACAATAAGCACTCCACATTCAGGTGGGTTGGATGGTGGCTGACTCATCTAGGCCGGTTTTGTTTCATCTGGAGAAATCGTTTCATCTGGAGAGGCTCACAGAGTTTGTGGGACTCACCAACTTGATGTTGTCTACTGATTTGCAGATGAGAAACTGTGACCTAGGAGCAAGAAGGAGATGAGGCCAAACTGTAGTTATTAAAAAGTGACTATAAAGTACCAGGGAAATAGCTAAAAATTATAATAGGAAGCACAAAATACGTGCTTCTATGATAAGATGCTGCTATGTATGCCAGCAGAACTCAGAAAATATAATGTACATAATTATCATAACAGATGCATGATCTAATCTTTGTAGTGAGTTAAACAAGCTATAGATTTTGAAGCAATCCTCAGAACTTTACCAGAGGATACTACATCAACTAAAAGTAATTGTAAGTAAGTCTAATTGAACTTGACGAGAAGGTGTTAAGTTGTGCTGTCAGTTATCAAGATTAAAATTAGCCGGGGATAGAGAGCTAGTTCCACAGTAAGAACTCACATTGCATTCTCAGAGGACCTGAATTTAGTTCCTAGGACACACATCAGACAACCCACACAACTTACCTGTAGCAACAGCTCCTGGAGAGTTACATGTCTGGCCTCTAAGAACACCTATATATTCATATGCACCATCTACACACAAACATACATGTACACACAAGATTAAAAATAATAGAAGTAAACCTTTGCAAGTTGAAGAGATGACTCTGTGGTTCAGAGCACTTGGTTTTGCAGAGGACCTGAGTTCTGTTCCCAGCACCCACTTGATAGCTCACAACTATGCACGACTGTAATTCCAGGGGACCAATGCCCTCTTCTTACCTCCACAGGCACGGCACACGTATGATGCACATAGACACACACAGCACAACTCTCATACACATTTGATTTTTAAATTATTACAAATTTTATCTAGGCCAAGTGTGGTAGCACACACCTTTACTCCTTGCACTTGGAGGTAGGGACAGGTGGATCTCTGGAAGTCAGTGATCTCTCACTAGCTTAGGTCAGATACCTCTCACTAGCTCGGGTCAACTGATTCTTCAGGTTTCCCCATCATGGTCTTGACTCCTTTGTTCATATTATGGCTCCTCCCTCACTTCAATTGCACTCCAGGAGCTTGGCCCAATTGTTAGTTGTGGATTTCTACATATGCTTCCATGTATTTCTGGAAGAGGGTTCTAGTTTTTCTGGGGTTGTGGATTGTAGGCTGGGTATCTTTTGCTTTATGTCTGGTATCCACTTATGAGTGAGTAATACTGTATTTGTCTTTCTAGTTTTTGGTTACCCCACTTGGATTTTTTTCTAGTTCTGTCCATTTGCCTGCAAATTTTAGGATGTCATTGTTTCTCACTGCTGAGTAGTACTCCATTGTGTAAATGTACCACATTTTCTTTATCCATTCTTCTGTTGAGGGGCATCTAGGTTGTTTCCAAGATCTGGCTATTACAAATAATGTTGCAATGAACATAGTTGAGTGAATGTTCTTGTGGTGTGAATGTGCCTCCTTTGGGTATATGCCCAACAGTGGTATTGCAGATCTTGAGGTCGTTTTCTGAGAAATCACCATACTGATTTCCACAGTGACTATACAAGTTTGCACTTCCACCAGCAATGGAGGAGTGTTCCCCTTTTTCCACATCCCCTCCAGCATAAGCTGTCATTGGTGTTTTTGATCTTAGCCATTCTGATCCGTGTGAGATGGAATCTCAGAGTTATTTTGATTTGCAGTTCCCTGATAGCTAAGGATGTTGAACATTTCCTTAAGTGTCTTTCTGTCATTTGAGATTGTTCTATTGAGAATTCTCTTTCTTGATCTGGATTCCATTTTTTTAATTGGATTATTTGGTAGTTTGATGTCTAGTTTCTTGAGTTCTTTGTATATTTTGGAGATCAGCCCTCTGTCAGATGTGGGGTTGCTAGGCCATTGGCTGAAACAACTTTATTCATCAACCAATAAAAGTAACACATATTCACAGCATACAGAAGGATATCCCTTATCATCCACCTTTGTTCCAAATATTAGAAAACTGGAAAAAATGGTGCATAGGCAAAGCTTTTTAAGAATTTGAGAGCCCACATTTGTTGCAGGGTATCTGTATACTGTGTGAAGATGTGCCATTGTGTTTGGTTTAATCAAAAGCTGAACAGTCAATGGCTACGCAGGAGAGGTTAGGCAGGACTTCCAGACAGAAGAACTCAAGGGATGAATCTGAGCTGAGTGGTTTCTCCAGTGAGATGTAGAACAAGTCAGACACATGGTACTGAGGAGGGATAAAGAGCCAGGTGGCAAAATGTAGACTAATAGAAATGGGTTAATTTAAATTATAAGATCTAGTTGGAAACAAGGCTAAGCTAAACTAAGGCCAAGCTTTCATAACTAATACTAAGTCTCTATGACATTACTTGGGGGCTGGCATTCCAAAGAAAGTCCAGCAAGAAAGATCTACTACACATATCCTGGAAAACTTCGCTGCAAGCCAAGATGGGGTACAAGCTGAGAGATCTCTCTGGGTCCACGTTTGCCACTAGTCCACTGCTAAGATGGCCCAGCCTTTCTTACAGTGTTAAGATTAAGGCACACGGTTTTGTCCACACTGAAGATCATCATCCTGGAATGTAGAACAGTTATCTTGCTGGGGTCAAACCACACATCTGCTCCTGAGGATAGATCATGTTAACTGTGGACCTACTATGTGGTTTGCCGTGACTCAAGCCCTTTCCTCTCTTTATTGCTAATGAAACACATCCTTCATCCTCCTCTTGTAATGGTCCAATTTTGTCTTGTACTATTTGTGAGCACTTATCTTCATTGCACCTCCTTTTAAAGATATTGGGAAAGATTTCATTCTTTGTTCAAGATTTTCAAAATACTTTTAATTCTATCTGTGGTAGTTTGAATATAATTGGCCCCCATAATCTCAAAGGGAATTGCACTATTAGGAGGTGTGGTTTTGTTGGAGTCAGTATGGCCTTGTTGGAGAAAGTGTGTCACTGTACGGGGCAGGCTTTCAGGTTTCCCATGCTCAGGATACCACCCAGTGTCTCAGTCGACTTCCTGTTGTCTGCAACATATAGCACTCTCAACTCCATGTACACTGCCATGTTCCCCATCATAATGGTAATAGACTGAACCTCTGAAACTGTAAAAGAGCCACCCCAACTAAATGTTTTATTTATCAGAGTTGCCATGGTCGTGTGTCTCTTCACAGCAATAGAAACCCTAATTAAGACACTATCTTCAAACATCATTTATAAAGACAAAACCCACTTTGCTGCAAAACCCATGAACAGTTTGTATGGTTGTGTCTCTCACAATTTTTTTCATCACTAAGTCAAAGAACTGGAAAGGAGACAATCTAATCTCACCTTCAGGAACTCTATCAGTATTCTTCATAAGTGCGGCATCCTTCTAAACCTGTGCCAGTTTAAAAACTGCTTAAGCTGGTGGTGGTGGCACACCCCTTTAATCCCAGGCAGATCTCTGTGAGTTTGAGGCCACCCCAGGCTATGAGAGTAAGTTCCAGGACTGGCTCCATAGCTACTGAGAAACCCTGTCTTGAAAACCCAAAAAATAAAAATAAAAATGGCTTAAATGCCTGATGGTTCGAATCACATGGAAACAGAGAATAAACTGATCATCACTGACTGGAAATAAATACAAGTTTCCTAGGAAAGGACAGAAAGCTGAGGGCCGAGAACAGAAGGGATTTCTCCCAGGAACTCTTTCCCGGCTCATTGAAATCCCAAGCAGTTTTATGTTCCACATAAACCTGAGAGGTGAGGGCAGGGAGAGCGCCGGTGAAGGAAGATGTGTTAGAAGATCCAGTGTTGCCGTTTCTCCTTCAGAGGGATGAGGAAAGAGAAAGATGTGAACATAATGTCTATTATTTGGTGTTTACTACACTCATCAGCCTTGGCAATGCTTACAATACATAGATTTACCCAGCTCCCCAAGATCTGCACATGAACTTGAGTTGCCCTTTCAGGGGGGAAAGTTGGGGCCTCTACCTCAAAGACACCCAGCTTCTGGGCTGAACTTGGCTCACTTGCCCAACTTTCAAAGCTGAGGTTCTCAACCTGTGGGTCACGACCCCTGTGGGGTTGCATACTGGATATTTACATTACGATTCATGACAGTAGAAAAATGACAGTTATGAAGTAGCAATGAAATAATTTTATGGGGGGGTCACCACAATGTGAGGAAATGTGTTAAAGGGTCGAAGTGTTAGGAAGGTTGAGAACCACTGTTTTAAAGCATAAACCAGATGCTGTCTGTCCTTTGTTCAAGTGTCTCAAAGCCGCCCGTGCCCATCAGGCTCTGCTCCTTCCCTTCACTGCCCTCAGATCTATCCCCAGCATTCTCCAGCTACACATCTGACCACCTTGACCCTTAAGTGTCAGCCAACCCCAGGGCCTCTGCATCTGCTCTCTCCCCAGACAGCAGGTCCACTTCCTCCCCTCACTGGGGACTTGCCCAGCTTCCTGTCTAGAGGAGGGCTCCCCCTCTGCAGTTCACTCCGCCTGCCTTATGTTTCCTAGCTTTGACCATACATACGTCTGATCTGTCGTGATTGCTCTTTTCCTCTAGGATCTATGGAAACAGCAGCCGTCTGTTTTACTGTGACCCCAACATGGACAGTGAGTGCCCAGGACAGGTGCATGGCAAACATTTGCTGAACGAATAAGTCCAAGAAAAAACATTGGCCAAGATATACATTTACTTTTGTTTTTCTGTCAAATGTCAGAAAATCTTTACCCTCTTCCGGCGTCCTAACACTCAGTAATTTGTTTGTTTCCTCAGCTAGTGTTTCTGAGCATTATATGTATTTTAAAGCAGAAGAAAAGTTTCTCAGGAAGAGACTATACATTCTAAGGAAATGCATTTATCATTTATGTGGCAAACTGAAGCTAACCAAAGCTCATCGTCGGTTATTCTAAACACATTCCTTCCAGGAGGATGTCATCTGAGATATCTAGACACCAGCCTTCTGTTGGGAAGGAGACCAAATGTTTTCATAGCCTCCATGAGACTCTGACCCCCAGTTCTATAGTTATAAAGTGTGGCCACTGCTGGAGGCTCCAGGTTGAAGTGTGTGGGGGGGAACCAGCTAGTTTTTTTCCATGTTACAGAGTTCACAGCTCGGCTAATTAAAACACACAAGGATTCACACTGCCTCCTTTCATCTGCAGATAACTGACCCAAGGAAGGTTCCAGGAATGCTGGACCCACTGATTGCTCAGCTGACAAGGACTGTGTACTGGACTAGCATCTCCTCCATGCTGCTCTGCCTCGCTGAGCGTGGTTTTCTGAGCATGGCTTTCATACACTGGATTAGTTCCCACGATATTCAACTGTATTCCCAACCGTTTTACACATAGGGGGAAGAAAAACCCTAGGGATATGCAAGAACTAGAAACTTGACCAAAAGTATTTTGTCTCTACATCATCACTGTATTTTTAGGGCCAAGAGTGCAGTAGCAACTGCAGTAGCCTCAGAGTAGAAAGTGGAATGGTGGTGGTGCTAGGATCCGAGGGCAGAACCATCCATTTCTTCTCTCTACCCCATGGTCTCTTAGTACCCACACTCAGAAAGCCAGAGGTGACCAAGGTGAGGCACAGGCCTGGCCTT